TGCTTACCTGCGATTGAGCTGCCCCTGTGTGGTGTTCTGGGCTCCCAGCCCCTTGGATGTTTTCATTCTGAGGACACTACACCTTGGTCCTGAGCTACTGCTCTACGTGCAGGGACCCGCACCTCCAACCCCCTGAGCTGGAGGCACCATGGTCACAATCAGAGCACATTAAAACTTGAGAGAAAAGTTGTCCCATGCCACATGTCAAAACCAAGACCTGATTACAGAGCCACTCAGTGTGCCCCTACAGCTCCAAGCCATAGTGAAGAAGGCACATACTCCTTAAGGGGCCACAGATCTCCCCTCGGTATAGGGAAGATGCAGGATGTCCCTAGGACCGAAGTATACTTTAAATGTCTCAAATCCCCAAAGTAGTGATGAAAACAGTCTTTCTGGCTCCCCCTCCCCGTCCCGATCTCTCCTATTCCAATCCGGTGCCCAGTGCTTAGAGATTCAAAGTGCTGCCATCCACAGGAGGGCTCAGTAATGTATCCTGCTGACACTGGCATCTTTCTGTGATTCACCAAGAAATTGCTGTAGGAGAAGGGAAAGGGGAAAGAGGGTGAGTGTGGAAATCACACAGCTCTGCATTCATACCTAAATTATTTAGTGTTTCAGACCTCATGTTTTCATCTGTAAATGAGAAGAATAATTTCTACTTTGCTGGGTTGTGAGAATAAGTGAATGTGTAAAGAGCGCGTGGTATAAGAAACATAATATCGTTTGTGCTCACTTATGAAATATCATTAAAAATATGAGTTGTCGGGCCGGCCCGGTGGCACACTGTTACAGTGCACCGCTTGAGAGCGCGGCGGCGCTCCTGCCGAGGGTTCAGATCCCACATACAGACCAGTTCCCACTCACTGGCTGAGCAAGGTGCGGGCGCAGCACCGAGGGTTGCGATCCCGTTGCCAGTCCCGGTCTGGTACGGGCGCGACATTGAGGGTTGCGATCCGTTGCCGGACACGAAAAAAGACAAAAAGGAAGGAAAAAAATATATGAGTTGTCTAGAGCACTACCACCGTGTCACTATAGATGGGGGTAGTTTTTGATGTGTAGTACACAAAAGCACTCGCATCCGAATCTCCCCTATGACCTCCTTGACACCCCAGTACTAGATGGTGTTGATTTTCCTGCCATCTGAGCCCAGATATGGAACTGGGTGGTGTGTTTGGAGATTGGCCTAAAATATGGGCAGTGATACTCTGTCTCCATGCAAAGTATTTGCTATTTGTCCCTGATGGACAGACTTGTAATTACAAGTCATAATTAACCATCTCACTGCTTTAGACAAGGTGAAGGTGGAAAAAGGACCAAGTCTGAAGTGAGACTGGAAATATGGCGTTTTCCCCTCTTGATTCTGTCCTCTGGTATTTCCCCAGGTCCCTTCCTTTTAGGCAGGGATTTCTGACTCTGCACATCTAGACTTGGGGTTGGAGGAGCAAAAGGTGTTTGGTGGTCCCACTGACTGACTCTTTGTTTGGAACAGTGAATGGCACAACAGGAGAAGGCCTGTCCCTGAGTGTCTCGGAACGTCGCCAGGTCGCAGAGGAGTGGGTGATGCAAGGGAAGAACAAGTGAGTGGCTGCCCAGGATAGAGCACCCACCAGAGAGCTGTCGTGAGCGAGGCTCTTCCCAGATGACACAGCCTCCCTGATTTCTGGTCAGAGGCTTCTGATTTCTGGTCAGAGGCTAGGCTCGAGATCAGCTGGTGGGAAGATGAGCAGAGACCCTGGGGACCCTGGCACTTCAGTGAGGATCACATGTCTTTTCTGTGTAGAAGGGCAGCTGGAAGGCACACCTGGCTCCCAGAGGTTCCATCCGGAAACTGCACCTGCACTAAAAAGATCACCATTAACAAAAAATAAATAAATAAATAACTATTAGCCCTTCTAATTAGAACAATTTTAAATAGATCACTGGAGAGCATAATAGTCTTGAGTTTGAGATTAATAAGGCATTAACCAGCTGTTAAAAACAGCACAGACTGCGCAGTACAGCCCTTCTTTGTTCCTCTAAACTTCAAGGGATGCAGCAATGTATCCTCTTTTGCAGGTTAGATCAGGTGGTGATTCATGTAGGAGCACTGAGCTTGAAGGAGTCACTGGGACTGGTATGTATGCAGATCCAGCCAGGAAAGACCACTCCTGGGGCCTCCATTTTTATGCTGAAGTTAAAATCAATACTATATATGCTATGTGGTGTATGCTATGCTAAAAGAGATAAGGTGTGGGATCTCAGGGACTCACTGTCTAGTGAACTGAACCATAAAGGCAGGGCCATTCCCCAAGATGATGACTACTGTAGAGAGGAGACCTTCCTCCAGGGAAAGAAAGGGTGGGTGCAGATGTAGCAAAGCATGCAGGTAAGCAGCAAAACTTGGGCCAACTTCAGTTTTCTCTGGGAAGTAGAAGACAAGGCCATCTACAGGACACAAAGGGGATGGAAGATAGGGTAAGGGCTTGAAGAGGTCAATGTGAAATGGATGCCCTGGAGGACAGGAGAGAGCTGAAACACAAAAGAATTGCCCAGTGGTGCTGAAAACCAACCTAAGTTGTATGTAATCAATTTGTCATACCACCATTCCACACAGTTGTTGAAATTTTTTTCTAGGTACACTCTTCAGCCAGAACATAGGAATAAGAATGCAGGCAATTGGATTGCTCTAGGTTTAGGGATTAGCAAGTTAGGTGGAGCAAAAGGCAAGGAAGAAAAAAGTTAAAGTTGTTGGGAGAAATGCAGATAACATGGTGGTTTTTGAGGCCTGGGTGAAATGGTTAAGAAATGAAAGCACAAAGATGTTTAAAATGTTTATCAGAAGGCCCAGTGCCTGGACTGCTACAAATTAACTCACATTTCCAGAATTTAGATATTCTAACTCCCACGATTTTAATGACTTGATCACATATTCTTGATGAGTTTTGTGTGATTGTTTTACTTGTTATTTAGATTTAGAAATGGGATTATAATATAAACTTGCAAAATTGGAATTCAATGGTTTTAGGCAAGCTGTAAGGGAAGAAATTTTACTAGACTTAAACCTGGAATCAAAACTTGGGGACTTGATTTAATATTCTTACACTTGATTTGCTCTTCTTTCAAAAGATCTTTCAGCTAAGGCAGGATGGTGTAGGGAATCATTTTTTCTTATCTTTTCAATTGCTTTATTTTCCAATGTTTAATATAAATTTTAAAATATTGTCATGACATGAAAGACAGTGTCATCCATTGGAATGAATACTAGAATAGTATAGAGATAATCTTGGAATGGAGATAGTCCCCTGGCATAGGGATCATCTCCTGGTATAGGTATAGTCTTGCCAAAGAGACAATAATATTGGCATCTGCTTAGCCATAACTCTGTTGGATAATGCTGGAATGGGCACTACCATCAATTCTCTCTTGGGTGTTTCCTTTTTCCTTGCTTTCAACCAAAGTTACCCTTATGCTCTTTTTCTAAACAGAGTACTAAACAAATGATTAAAATATATCACATTCTAATTCTGTGTTAATGAAATTATACCCGGTGTGTTGGTTGGTCCTTGGGCCATAACCCAATCTTCTCTTTTTGTCTAGTTTGCTTCTGCAAAAAGTTATGTCTTTTAGATATAGATATTGTGAGTTCAAGTCTCAGAGGGAAGCCTTTTTCCCCTTTCAGGTGGTGGGGCATGTTCTGAGTCCTGCTATGTGCCCAGCACCATGACTGACCTGTACACAAAGGTAAACAAGGTCTGATCCTACCCTCAGGAAACTCTAGTTGGAGGATAGTAACTGTACACCATACCTAAGGTCTAGATACTCTTATCTGAGATAGATAAAAAATGTTAGGAGGGCCCAGCTAGCAGAAATGTTAATTTTTTCTGAGGGAATTTGAGAAAACATCAGAAGCATGGTACAAAGTATCTTCTGTGATGTGGATAATTGTTTTCTTCTTCTCAGCCTTTCTCAACTGCCTTCCCAATCTGTAATATAAATTTGAAAATATGACTGTCATGTCATTGGACAGAAAAGACAGTATCATCTAGTGGGATAAACAGTAGAAGAGAAATTACATCTGCAGGTTTGTCTGTTAATAGTTCTAACTTATCAAAATGAACCACTCATGTCTCCTTAGCAAGATTTTTTGTACTTACGAAATACGAGGAAATATAAGATTGAGTGCACAGCTCTACTTTGCAACCTGGGATTTTTCCTGGTAATGAATTTATTATTAAATGTGGCTAATTTTTCCACTCCCCAGTGGTGTATCAGTTGGTAAATTTGAAGCATTTGTTGCTGAACTCCATTATCTAAGCCGTAGGTGACTATAATAAATCACTTACTCCATTACGGTCTTATTTCTTCCTTTAAAGGCCCAACATGCAGCACAAATAGGAGCTGATGGCATTGCTGTCATTGCACCTTTCTTTTTCAAGCCATGGAACAAAGGTGAGTAGATAGGTCTGAATGCACAGTGTCTCACATGGTCTACTTCTTCTTGCCTCCATCCAAAATGGTTATATTGAATTCTTGAAAGTGAAGTCCTACAGACTGGAGGCATGAAATTGCAACAGAACAGTGGTTCTCTGGAATATCTGCTCTCCCTGAGTCCATAAAGGAGACTGCATACAAGTGCTTCAATTCTTTTGCCCAATAACCTAATCAGGTCATCCATCAAACCCCTGGTCAATCAGTAGGTGCCTGTGTTTGGGTCAGATGTCCCCTCCTGGTGCAGTCAGTTGCACTGGGTGCCAAAGTCACATGGCAAAGCATGGAACCGTTTTTCTCAAAAGAGAGGAGTAAAAGTGATGGGCATTTTGAAACTACATGTTCTTTTCAAGGTCGAGTGTGATGAATTTGAGGATATTTCACAGAAATATCCCTTGTCC